GGGGGGAGGGGGGGAGGGGGGGATAAATAGCCAGCACGGCACCTCTTCAACACGAGTGTGCCGTGCTACAAAGCCATGGACACACCGTGGCGAGTGTATTATGAGGCCGCTTACGCACGCGCATAGCTCCGCAAGTGCCTGGGTTCAAACCCCAACAGCAGCAGTTGCATCCCGGATCTTGATAATATAAATCCGAGAGCGGGGCGGGGCGGGGCAGCGTGGGCGCGTGGCATGCGCGAGCGAGCGGCGGCCTTGGCCTTGGCGCTTGCGCGCACGCGTCGTGATGCGGCTTCCTTTTTCGCCACGTGGAGCTCTCCTGCTGCAGCACCTTTTCCCGTCATTTTTCCCGCTTTTTTTTGCCCGAAAACGCCCCAAAAACAGTCGAAAACCCGACTGTCGGGTTTTGCAGTATTTCGCTGCTTTGCGGTGTGGTGGGTGGGGGCGGGGACCGTTCCCGCTCCGATACCAATGTAGCGGACCCACCAGGTGTGGTGCTCCGCTAGTGACGGAGATGGAGATGGAGGAAGAACGGGGAGCAAGATAGCACAACGCAGCTCCCCACGCAAGACTCCAACGCACGTACTCCAAAATGTGCAAGTGACGAATGAGACTGAAATCAGACAATGGCTGGGGTATACCCCAGCGGACTGACGSGACTGGACTGGACTGGCTGGTACCGACAGAGGTACCGGCCTGGACTGGCCTACCCCGAATATAACACAGGCCTGTGAGAACAGGYCAAGGGGCTGGTCTCACAGGCCAACCCGAGGTCCGCTACAGTTCGAGAGCGTTGTGGAGCGGCTAATCCGGAAGAGTGTGAACTCGAGATTTGACGACTGCATGGACCAGTTGTATGAGTTTCAGTTTAGGAGAGGAGTCTTCGGCACCCCGCAGGCAAAAAAACGGGCTGAGAAGGACAATGCGGTGCTATGGTGGGAGGCGCATGGTGCAGGGCATCCAGAGATCCGAGAGCTGGCGCTGAAGGTGCTCTCCATCTGGACGACTTCCTCTCCGGCTGAGAGGAACTGGAGCACTTGGGCTCTCTTGCAAACGAGGTCGAGGAACAAGTTGCACCACCAGCACACCGAGAAATTGGTGGCCTTGCACTGGAGCTTGAGGCTCAAGAGTAGGGGGCAGGATGGGGCCACTGTTGCAGGAGGGTGGTTGGGGCTCGTAGCCGACTGGGAGGACGAGGACTTGGAGGGTGACATGGCAAATGTCACATAGGCAATTCATGACATTGAGGCAGTTGGTGAGGGCACTGCTTCTGCGGTGGGCAGCACAAACATTCGCCCCGATCCCACAGCGTCGTCCCCTTCGAGATCGCTGCAGAGGTTAGTGCAGGTGGAGGATGAGGATGAGGACGATGAGGACGATGAGGACGATGTCCCCGACAAGGAGTGGGTGGACGAGAGATCGGACTCAGACAAATCGTGGATGAGGAGAGAGGGCATGCTCCCCTATGTTGAAGGCACATGATCTGGATTTAGGTCCCAGACGCGGGCGTGGCCAGAGGCGCAGCAGGGGGAGCAGCAGCAGCAGCAGCCGCAGGAGCAACAGGAGCAGGTTGAGCAGCAGCAGGAGCGGGTTGAGCATTAGCAGCAGCAGCAACAGGAGCAGCAACAGGAGCAGCAACATAGGCAAAAGGATGAGGAGCAGCAGCAACAGCGAGGGGATGAGGAGCAGCAGCAGCATGAGACGGATGAGGAGCAGCCACAACAGAGGGAGAAGGAGTCGTAGCAGCAGAGGGTGGATCCCGCAGTCCAGCAGGAGACCGCAGTGCAGTCGTCCAGAGATGTGCACGAGGAGGGTGAGGCAGAGGGCGAGCAAGGTTGTCGCGAGGTGCGAGGATTTTACAGTTCTTCTTAGTGGTCGCCTCTCGTTGGGCGGCATGGAGCACATCCCGGTCGTGTGTGGGATCCCCTCGCTTATCGTGCTCCGCGAGGACGAGGAAGGGCGGCTGCTGGACATGGGAGAGGGCGGACTTATATGGTTGCTCAAGGCACCGAAGCGGTTGCACGAGGCTCAGGGTGTCCGAGAGGGCGGCCACGAAAAGAGAAACCCCTGGAAGCGGCACTAGCAGCAGGAGCAGCAACAGCAGCAGCAGCAGCAGCAGCACCAGCAGTAGAGGATTCAGATGATGACTCACATGAGAGTGCGCCGTTGCAAAGGAAGAAGAGGAGGACGGAGCCTGTTGTGGAGACGGAGACACAGGGCAAGAGTCACTGAGAGAGAGAGAGAGAGAGAGAGAGAGAGAGACCCCATTGTGTTTCACGTTCATGCTCCCATTGTGCTTCATGTTCCCACTCGCGATACTGCTTCATTGTCGGGTTGTCTGAACTCAAGGGCTTTCGTTGTTTGTTAGAGGGGTTGCTTCATTGACCGTTATTTCATTTCGAATCTGCTCATCTTGATGGAGTGGGGGTTGTCTGTGTGTGTGTGTGTGTGTTTGTCTATGTGCTTGCCCCCGTGTGTGTGTGTGCGTGTGTGTGTGTGTGTGTTGTCATATTCGCTGTACACTCAAAAAAGCATGACTGTGCCAGACTGTCACCGACTTCTCATGTGGTTGAACACCGACAGTGTGGCCAGGATGCAGGGGAGATATGTGTGTGTGCGTATGGTGATATTCGTTGTATTGTCTATACACTCAACAAAGCATGACTGTGCCAGACTGTTTCGTCAGACTGTGACCGACTTCTCATGAGGTTGAACCCCGACAGTCTGGTCAGGATGCCCCTGTATGTGTGTGTGTGTGTGTGTGTGTGTCTGTGTGGTGATATTTTATAACAAACACACACACACACACACACACAAACACACACAGACGGGGGCGCATGACTGTGCCAGACTGTTAGGGTTCAACAGTCTGGCACAGTCATACGCCCCCGTTTGTGTGTGTGCGTGTGTGTGTGTTTGTTGTCATATTCGCTGTACACTCAAAAAAGCATAACCGTGCCAGACGGTTTCGTTCGACTGTGACCGACTTCTCATGAGGTTGAACCCCGACAGTCTGGCTAGGATGCCCCTGAAACGGATTCCACGTTGCAGTACTTGATGCAAGTCCCAGGGCTCGATCCCTAGTCCTTCCCCTTACTTGTGTACAGTATCTGTGCAGTACCCAGTCCCAGTCTCCCCTAGTCCAGTCAGCAGTACCCAGTCCCAGTCTTCCCTAGTCCAGTCAGCAAGTACCATATGGGACTGTAGGCACACCGGGGCTTGGGAAACATGGCAGACCAACGCACAACAGAAGAACAAATCAAGGAGCAGCGCCCAGCCAAACATTCATTCCGCAGTGTGCAATGCAGGCCAGACTGTTGTTTGCCACACAGCACACACATACTCACATACACACATACACACATACACACAGACACACACAGACACACACACGCAGGTAAGGTTCTGAACGGACATTAACTTCACAAACAAAACCGTTTCAATGGTGGATTGACTCATCTTGAGCATGCTTCGTTGTCTGCAATACAGGTAAAGTTGCTATGACTTTGGATCTACTCATCTCGGTGGAATAGGGGAAGTTGTGGATTTACACACACATGGGGGCTCTACAGAGCGTTATATGCATCTCGGAGCAGTGGGGGGGTTTTCGGGACACACACAGAATGGCGTGCAACGCAGGCCACAACCTCTTTCTCTTCTGCAACCTTCTTTCCAACCTTGGCTGCAACCTTTGCATGTAAAAGAGGAGGCCGCCCCCTCTTCCACTTCGACGACGCGACTTCACTATCTCCCTCCTTACTTCCCCTTGCACGTTGACCCTGCTTCATCGATCTCGGGTGTTGCTGCCTTTCATTTCCATTGCCGACGCCCCAACGCCTCCTCCCTCCCCTGCACCCAATCACCCGCTTGTCGTGCCTTCATTGCACGGTTACGGCCCTCCGGTGTATAAAGGAATGCAGGTTCGGGGTCTTGGAGGCCTGACTTCTTCCGCAGCTCACGCACTCTGTGCTTCCGTGACTTCGTGTTTGCATGCCAAGTGTGGTACACCAAGCCAAGTTGGGCGATGTCGTCCTCCTTGTCCGCAAAGTTGTCCTCCTCATCATTATTTTGCCACGTATGGACCAAAGGGCCATCTCCATTATCATCATCTGCAACCTCCTCCAGGGCTGCATCAGCGGCTCTCCCCTCGATGACCGACCTGGTCCAGTTTTCGTACCACTCCTACATCTCCGTCTTCGTAAGCTCATTGTCCTTCCAAGGAATGTAAGTCGCCTCCGTCTCTCCACGCGCCCTCTGCATTGTTAATTGAATTTTTCAATTTTTGTAAACCTCCTTCGCTAGTCTCTCGGGCAGGAGTTTGGTGCTCTGTTGTCCGTACATGAGCTCGTGCAATCTCCAATTTCGTTCGCAAGTGGCCGAAAAACTCGCCTCACCGAGAAGCTTGATGGCCTGCGGTTGGAGGAGGTCCAATGACCCCTGAACGTCTCCCACCAGAGTGGTGGTGTTTGCACATTGGCCTGCTCTTTTGCGTTCTCTGTCGCAAATGTGCCTAGTCTACAGACCCAAGTGTCGACTTGCTTGCTGATTTCCTTCAGCGACTCCTGTGGCGCCCAATAATAGAGCCAGATATGGAAACCCTCACGGATCTCCGTGTCCCGCAAGGTCTGTGACCCATACTCGCGATCGAGGAAGGGTGCAGCTCAATGCAACTCGGATGTCATGAACGCCCACTGGTCCATGAGAATGTTCTCCACCATTACCTTTTCGTCCTCCGTCAGACAATTGAGGATCCGCATTTCGGCCACAATCTCGTCCATGTCGAAGTGCACTTTGCTGATGGTCGCTCCGGGACCGTCCACCAAACGCAGCAGCTTAACCACCGGCTCCATGATAGTTATTGCTCTATAAACCTTGTTCCAAAAGCCTTCATTGTCCACAATGATGCGCGTGGCAGCGTTGAATGTCACCACCTGCTCAGCCCTCACCAACTTGTCAACCCACGCCACGTTCTCTACGCAAAGCTCAAGTGAAGTCCTCCCTCTCTTCAGCGACTCGAGCATTTCGAAGTTCGTTGCGAACCTCGTGACGACTGGACGTTTGAGTTGGGCGTTTGAAATTTTGTTGAACATCGCGCAGACCTTGTCGATGTCGGTCACAAACTTGCCCACTTGGTTTCCCTTGTTGACGACGTCCTTCATCCAGCCCAGTCGTTTGTACATGTCTTCCAATGTCAAGTCCAATGCATGGGTCGTGCAGCCCACACTGAAAATCTCAGGGTACTTCGCCTCCACCGTCTTCCCGACCTTCGAAAAGATCCTCGCATTATCCATCACGACGCGGACGATGGACCACGGACCGATCTCCTCGATAACTCCTTCCATCAGCTTAAAGTAAGTCGTTGAATCCTTGTCCTTGCCTTCCATGCAAACGGACTTTCAAAACACATTGCCAATCGGGAAGGAAACCATTACGTGCAAATGCGGTTTGTCCCTCCTGTCCCACCACCCGTCCATTTGCAGCATGCAGGCCGTCCTCTCCCACTTCCTCACCATACTCTTCATCTCGTCCCCAACAAGTCTGCGTTGCCCGTCCAACCGCTTCGTCCTCATCTCGTCCCTCTTGCACGACTACCAACTAGGATGACACTTCTTAACCACGTCGATGAACTGAAGGAAGTAGAAGTTCTCAATCAAACTGAACGGTTGATTCGTGCAAATCAGAAAACGGTCCAGATATCTGCTGATAGGCTAATTCTTGGTGATGATGTTGTCCGCCTCCTCGATCAGAGTTTGCCTCGTCGGTGGTCCGACCAATGGTGTAGCGTCCCCGGATGTCACGGACGTGGATGACTTCCCAACAGCTGGAACAGGGAGCCTGCATGACGTCGGGGATGAGACTACCAAGCTGCTCCAAGACGGAGCACTGCTCGGACCCACATCCGCACTTCCCTTCCGTCCGATAAGGGCTTCCGCCTGCATCGTCCCCATTCGAATCCCCTCTATCCTCCTCACCCTCTCCTCTGCATCCAACGCTCAATACCACACTTGCCATTTAAGAAGTGGTCCCTTAGGTTGGTGGCCGACTCAATGAACCGCCTTTCGCAGTAGTTGTAGACCCAGTGCCTATGCCCCTTGCTCTTGTGGTTCCCGACCGGACCATTGTTTGTGAAGTGTCTCTTGGGCTGCTCGGTCAATACCTTCACAAGAGTCATTTTTCCCTGATCACATGCAGTCTATCAATAGCCTTGGCGTCAACCCCTTGTCTAGCTCTTGGAGCATCCCCCGACTCAACCCCTCCAACCCGATTACATCATGATGGAAGATGGACCGACAAACAAAAAAGGAGATGGAAGATGGACCGACGAGGGATGGAGGAAAGACGAGGGAGGAGGGAGTGAAAAATGGAGACAAGCGTGATGAGAAAGGAGAAGGGAGGGGGGAAACGGAGGACGGAGGGGGAATAGATGAGGGAGGAATACATCAATAACAAGGGAGGAGCACACGGCCAATGGGGAGGGTATTCACTGCTAATCGGACTTCGAAATTCAAAAATGGAGAAAGAAGATGGAGGAGGGATGAGTAAGGAGGGATGAGGGGCGGGGGTGTAGGAACACTATGAGGGAAAATTATGCACGAGAAGGACGATAACGATGAGGAGGAGCTGCACAGTTTCCACATACACACACACATGCACACACACTCAGAGAGAGAGAGAGAGAGAGAGAGAGAGAGAGAGAGAGAGAGAGAGAGAGAGAGAGAGAGAGAGAGAGAGAGAGAGAGAGAGAGNGAGAGAGAGAGAGAGAGAGAGAGAGAGAGAGAGAGAGAGAGAGAGAGAGAGAGAGAGAGAGAGAGAGAGAGAGAGAGAGAGAGAGAGAAAGAGGCCGGTGGTACGATATGTGGGGGAGTAGGAGAAGGATGACGAAGGAGGGAAGAAAGGGGAGGATGAGAAGAAAGAGCCATGTTGACGCAAAAGAAAATCCGCAAACTACAGAGAGTATCCTGATGACAAGCGAGGGAGGAGGAAAACTATGTTGAAGGAGGAAGGAAGGGGGAGGAGGAGAAGAAAGTCCCACGTTGACACAAAAGAAAGTTCACGAAGAGGAGGATAACGAGGACGAGGAGCTTTGCACTTTCCACAGAGAGAGAGAGAGAGAGAGAGAGAGAGAGAGAGAGAGAGAGAGAGAGAGAGAGAGAGAGAGAGAGAGAGGAGGGCGGGGCTGTTGGTGACCCACCTGGACATGGTGTCGGGGCAAATACCCTGACAAGGGTATTTGCTGGGGGTTTTCAACGTCGGACGTCGTCCGAATTTTTCGTTGAGTTGAAGGACTTGATGAGACCCACGCTTGCCAAAAGTTTATTTAGACCTGACCTGTGACTGACAGACTAAAAGTTTTCGAACGTTAGTCCGAACGCGTGTGGCGTCCAGGAGTAACGGATGTGAATGGTAATGCTTCACTTTTGTCGAAGCCGTAGGAATGTGCGGACATGGGAACGGTAAAACTAAACCTATTCTACCTAAAATAAAATCGCGCGATTCAGGGCCTAAGGAGGCTAAAAAGAGGGGTGTGCCGGGTATAGGGCCACGACGCGGGAGGAATAGGAAGTTTTTTTTTTCTGGGACCGCGGGATGTATAGCTGGCTCACCCGGCTAGAGCGGTGAAGAGACGACGCGACCTCGTCCATCTTGGCAGTTCGCGGGATTATTTATGCATCGTCCTAAGTTGTCTCTCATTTTGTTTTTGTTGAACTCCTGTGTGACATGGCTGGGAGCGCTCTCGCCTTTGCGAAAAAGGCGGGAGCCGATGCGCTCGACAACGGCTGCTTCCTTTGCCTCCTCCCACTGCCGCGACCCTTGGCTCCTTGCTGCCTCCTGCGGTTCGAAGCTGTATAGGGTATGGCTGAACGATGACGTGGGGGGCTGCTTCCTGCTTCGAAACACACGAGAAAACGACGACGACAACAGCGAGGGGGCATACGGCGTGGGGCAGGGCCGACGTTCACTGTCGGGGCGGGGCCGGGGTGGGGCATGACCGAGTAGCTTATAAATGAATTACTCGAATTTCCCCGCCCTTTTGTTTTTGTGCGGCCCCTCACAACCTAAAAAAAAAAAAAATCGTTTTTGGCTGACCGTCGGTACGAACTGCCTATCGACCTTGCAACCTTCCCCTCCAACTTTCATTTTTTTTCGGTCTGAATGCGAGCGCTTCTTGCCCGATGTGTAATATAGCGCACGTGTACGTTGCAGCTCATGTCGATGCGCCGCATGTATGCTGTAAAAGCTTCTTTTTATTTTAACTTCCGAACCAAATGTCTTTGGCCGGTTCACATTCAAAGTAGGGTGGTTTTTTATCTGAAAATTTTTAGATCCTCCGGGGGTGAAACCGGAGGAGGAAAACTCGGATAGAGAAATTTAATCGAAATTTTATAATTTATATTTTTTAAATAAAAACGTTGTTTTATTTTATAACTTCAACTTTGAGCGCTTTTCTGCGACGCATGTCGAGAGTGACTTTGATTGTAATAATCTTTTCGAATTTTTTAGACCTTCCCTACACAAAACCAACATACCGAACTCTCACAAAAAAATAAAACGTATCAAATAATTAATAAATTTAAATAGAAATTTTCCTTAAAGTTTTAAAAATATCGAATTAAAGAATAAATTTTAAAAATAAAATCAATTAAAAATCATTTTATATTTCTGATCGGCTGATAAATGATCTTTTTTTAAAACGCCTAGATTGGAGGGAACTTCAAATTTCCCTCAAATAGAGCACTTACCTTCTATTTAAATATTTTTTGAATACGGCGTACAACTTCGATACGCAATGGCTTGGTTATCCCGCGATAGCACGTCAATCTCTCACTTAGGCTACATTGCCGCCTCTTTCTTAGCCCTTTCTATACTTCTCTCTACTAATGTCTCTGAATGTTATCTCACTTGCTTATTTCTGACTATTCTGAGTCTTCTTTCTCTTATAGAATAGTCAACACTTGGAGGTGTTCAAGTTCAAGAAGGGAAATAAATCAATAGGTCCAGGCTGGTAGCCCTTCCTAACGACTCTCACATTAGGTTGCAGCTTTATTTCACCCTAGTGGATGGAAGAGTGCCCTGAACAATGTCAATCAGTCCAGTAGGATGGAGACATGAGGGAGTAGTTCATCATAGGTCCAAGTCGAATGAGTGATTCTAGGTAGTTTATCGTTCATTAAGTGTGAGACACAAACTTATAGCTCTGAGGATTGTTTGACAGTCCTACTCGGACTTATTCATTAGGTCCGGACTCCACAGGAGACACTTACACAAGGTATGGAATTTGACACAATGAGAATTTTGGTAGATACTTGATCGAATTCTTCGTGAGCTTAAGGAATGTTTTAGGCAGGCTCCACGGACGCATGGGAGTCTTAACAACGGTGGGAAGCCAGAACATAATGACATATCAAAGGCTATTCACCGCACTCAATCCGTGGCTACAGAACGAGAGAGAAGTAGAACGGGGTCAGTGACCATAGGCCACGATCGAGAGTATCGTCCGAGGTCACCAAATCCGAGACATAAGGAGATGAGAGGTGGTCGTGACAAAGATGATTGGAGAGAGAGAGGATGGTGTGACAGGGAGAGAGACATATATAACAGTCACCATCGATGCTTCTTCGATCCGGAGACTGGAGAGTCTAATACTCTTCCCTATGAAAGGTGAGACATATATATTATATCACATCAAACCCAGAGTTTGATACCAAGTCTCTCATCTTGAGAGGATATGGGATTTCATATTACTTAAAGAAGTGGGAGTGACATGTGTATCATAGCCGGTGGACAGAGGATGAGATTATCGACAACTTGTTGTTCAACTCCGACTTCAACTTAGGCAAAGAGATAAGGAGTGCGAGACCAAGGGACCAACAATGCAAGACTTATAAGGATAATTTATATCAACTCTTCAAGTATGAGGATATTACATACTTTATCAAAGACGTGGAGAAGTTTAGGCAAAAAGAGGATGACAGTATTCTGGCGTTCGGGAGGAGGTTCGAGAAGATGTCGGATGTGTTGGTGGCAAAGAGGAAGTTATCTGAGGTCGACAAGTGCACAATTTTTATCAATTGGTTATCGAAGGAAAAGCAAAAGGGGATCCTAAGAGACTTTCTGGACGATCGACTCGAGTTTACGATTGTCCTTAGGTTGGTCATAAGGGTAAACAATAACGAGTATAAGGACCTAGTCTGGAATGGATTGCGCGATAGGGAGAGCCTCCGGTCGTCTTCTCGTTCCTCCAGTGTGAGAGATACCCACATTATGATGATAGTCCTTGGGCAGACTTTCGATACCCCTTTGATGAACCTAGAGTGTGGCGAACAGATATCGCAGATGATTGAGACATGAGAGAGATGATCAAGGGTTTGGCTCGATAGATTGCCAGGATAGAGACGAAGACGGAGA